ATACGTGATCTTATAACACGTACAGGCTTAGGATCAAATCTCTCCGACTGATGAAATTTTCTGCTTTTTTTTCATTGTTTTCTCTTTAAATTATTAATTTTACGTAATATTTGTTAATTTTTTTTATACATTTTATGCAACTATATAGTTTTATTTGCATTCAAAGCACATTTTGATGGTACAAATTATCGATTGTCCAATGGTAAAAATATGATTAAAGTAAAACAAACTTTTATACACATAAATATAACTTTTACTATTTACCAGGTAATAGTATATGTATAAAGAGATGATAATGAGGATTTAAATATATATAAAATCATTATATATTTTAATTCAACCTATTGTATTTTCAAAAAAATGTATGTTTGTTATATGACAAAAGTCATAGTCAATTGAATAAATAATAATTTATAATTTTATTTTTTATTATTATTAATTTTGATTATTAAATAGTAATTAAAAAATAATAATTTAAGAGTTTTAAATACACGTAAATATTAATCAATAAATATAATTCAATTCAAATGAATAAATTTTATTTAATGAAAAAAAAAAAATGATTAACTTTACTCCTTCATAAAATATGAACTCCACGCAAAACCTAGCACTGAAATCTCTCTCCTTTATAATTTATATACTTTTACCCGGTTAATATAAAAAATATATTTTATTTATTACTATGAGAAATTTAACAAATATTACGTAAAATTAATAATTTAAAGAGAAAACAATGAAAAAAAAGCAAAAAATTTCATCAGTCGGAGAGATTTGATCCTAAGCCTGTACGTGTTATAAGATCACGTATTGTCGACTGGATCATAACACGAGTTGTTAACCGGAAGAAAAATGACCCCATTTAAGCTAATTAAAAATTTTCAAAGTCAATTTTCTCGACTTAGGGGGGACATTGGCAAAAAATTCCAAATACGTCTGATTCTGTATTCAATATAGATTAGATCTATATAAATTTTATGAAAATCGGTGACCCCATCACCGTGACCTCNGAACATTTTATATGTGAAATTGATTGCTCTAAATCTGACTTAGATTGTTGGGTTTAATTATTTTAATATACAAAAGTTAATTTTTTTAAAATCCTACTGTGGTCCGACAATACACTGTCTCGCCCAGTAGGTTGGCGACCCTTTTCTTATAATTTTGTAAAACGCCATGAAAGTTACAAATTTTTCGTTGCGGCCAATTAGTTTGATTTTTTTTATATTTGTAACCTTTCAATGTAGTGTACAATATGTCTGACCTGAATCCTAGTACAGTTGGTTAGTAGGTATATCCAAGTGAGACGAAGTTGGTTGGATATGATGACAATTGGCGATAGACGGGTCGTTCAATAAAACAAGTTAAGTTATGTCTTTAACAGCCACTCAAACACAATTTTATCAATTACATAGTTGGGTAAACCTACTGCAATTAAATCAATCAATGTGCTTACATCAATAGTTTTCCTTGATTCTAATAGTAACTTTTCTTTTCTTAATGCATATTCTATCAATGATCCTGTTTGGTATTTAAAATTAATTATATATTTGATTGGACTGCAGCCTTTATTAGCAAAAGTGTCATAACATTTTTTTTTCCCAGTCCAATCATTGTGAATTAATAGTTAGTTTTATTAGGACACATTCATATCAATTCACACATGATTTATCTGGGAAAAGTTTTTATAATTTAATTATTTTCTCATCTTGTGTCACATTGAATTCGAGGTATTCATCCTCAAATTCCTTTAACCTTTGACTAGCATTTTGTGTTTTATTGTTAAACCTATTTATATTTAAATCTTTCAATTTTATCAATAGGTTTTTCATTTGAATTTTGATTACTTTCAATCAATTTTTGAATTAACCTTTCCAATGTTGTTGTTTGTGTAGCCTAATTTGCCATATTACTATCTATTGTGGTTTACGCGATCAAAAAGCTGTCGGATACGCAAAAACGTTATGCCGCTGTCGAGCGCGAATGACTAGCGATCCTAAGGGCAACCGTTAAATTTTAGTCATACTTAGAGTACGCCCCTTTCGAACTGTAAACAGATAATTCAGCGCTGACTTATCTGCATAAAGCAAAGGGCACAAACAGTAAGTTGACCCGCTTGGCGCTACACCTGGGTAACCTAAATTTCACCACGACACACGTGATGGGCAAACACAACGAAGCGCCCGACATGTTATCACGTCACCTAACGGATGGACCCCCTGTTGACGAAGACACCCTGAATGACAATTTGTTAGGCGCGCCAATGTATAGTCCGCCCACAACCACCACCACTCGATAATATCTACTCCATTACCGAGGCAAATGACGTGATCAGCGACCGACCATTCACGAGGGGGGAGGTACGAGAGTGGCAAAACAATGACCAGTTTCTATCTTGGTTATAAAAAAATTAAACGCGCAACTCAACATAGCGAACGAAAAACCTTACGTGAAAAATAAGGAGGAATTTTTTTTATCGGACAGTATTTTACGTATTCGTATAGGAGCTGACACACCGACAAAGTTCAACATATAATTTGGCGGTACCACAGCAACCTATTATCATGTCACCCGACATGCTAGAAGACATGAAGAGAAACACACCGAGTGGTTAAACAACGGTTCTACTGTAAAGGATTAAGAAACGCGATGTGCATGTACGTAAAATCGTGCCACATTAGCGCCACTAAGCCCTTAAAATGGCGCCCCGAGGACCCGATGGTTAAGCGCCAACCTAGACAATCGTGGGATGTAATTAGTATCGACCTGATGGGACCGTACCCTAGAACACCAAGGGGCAAGACGAATGTATTAGTGGTAACGGACTGCTTCAGCAAGTAGACCGAAGCGTACCCCATAGGCGTGCCTATAACGAAAACGATTGTAGACGTGTTAGAAAGGGAGTTTTTTCACGCTACGGTTACGCGCGAATAATTTTAAGCGACAACGACCGAGCGCTTGTGTCTAAAGAAATGGTCGACGCGATAAATCGGTGGGGGTAGAGGCTTGGACTACACCGATATACACACACGAGCTCATCCAGTAGAACGCAAAAACCAAGTTAAAAAAAGGACTTCGCGCTTTATTAACTGAGTCGCGTCACACATCTTGGGATACAAAACTTCCACCTTTGTTGTTCGCTCTACGCAATAGGCGTAACAACACTACCGGATACACACCGTCCGTACTCGTATTAGGTAGAGAAGGTAAGAAACCGTGTGACTGGCTAATTCAATGAGTACAACCCGTAGCACCCGACACTATCAACGACGTCCGTTTAGAGCGCAAACAACAAATCACCAGCACAAATATAACACCGCCGGCTGGTCACATCAAAACAAAATACGTGGTCGGCGACGTTGTTTATTATAAAATGCATCACTTATCAAACACGGACAGGCAATTTTGTACGGGTTTTGTGCCGAAGTGGTGCGGTGCCGTTTGACTAACTGAACGCCTCGGTAAAGGTGTGTTTTAAACGGACCAGTCCCCACAAAGGAAAATTCATGTCTCATGTATGAAAAGACAAAATTAGATTTTTTTTTTTATTTATTATTTTTCAGCATGAACAGCAACAACAACAACAACCTTCATTCCACTCCATTATCCGTAGAGGAAGTCCTCCGGATAGTTGGCCAATTGGCAGGCACGGTGGGCCTCCCGGCGGATCCCCTCCCGCACGTACTGTGCTTGGCGGAGGATGTTGACCGGGCCCCCCTACCCGAGGTACTACGGAATCCGGTAGACCGTACCACTACGAACTTGGTGTGCGAGGAGGCGAGGCGTGAAATTCAGAACGCGCTTAACTCCCTCCCTCGCACCTTTCCGTCCACCTAGGGAGTCCAAACTTCCCCCCCCCGAACAGCCGTCAGGTGATAAACGTGGCGGCTCAAAATTTCCACCGCTTAGTAAAGCAATACGTTTGTGGTCGCCTCACCACGGCCCTTGCTGTTTTTCCGCGCTACGCGGTCACACAACGACACGCCATCCCAAGTATACTTACGCCAAGAGCTGCACCGACGACGACCCCATCGACCATCAAGACTCCGCGTTATTACTCTCCGTCCGAGCTGGAACGCCGGACAAAGAAATACCGGGAGTACATGCTTCGATGTTGGGGGTCGTCGTTGGTGAGGACCTTTTCTACCATACGCCAACTACAACCACGACCATAACACTGTCAACAACAACAACCACAACATGCGGAATTTTTTTTTGGTATTATTTTGTTCATTATGGAATTTATTTATAAGACACCTGAAAGTTAAACGTATGTTGTACATTCACAGCTATTAGTTTAATGATGCAGGCCCATCGGATCGCAAATTAATGTGTACGTCGATGACTGGAATTTATTTTGCAATTCATTGAGAACGGTAGAATCGTCAAACATTTTTAACGTACAAATATATTTAGTATCGCTAAACACGGTATCAAAAATATATTTTTTAAAGCCGTGGAAAATATGATAAAGGAAGCGGTAAATGTGAAATATTGCTTACTACAAGCTCTTAATTTTAATAAATACGTTTTTTAATATTAACAGCAGAAAATATTTAACAAATGGTCCACAGGAAATAACAGCCGTACAAATTTATGATATGGCACAACATAATTATAAAGGTCGGGTATTGAGTGCACATTGAGTAACGGCAAATTTGATATGCTAGATGCACTTATAAAAAAGTTCTTCATTGACAGATATCAAACCGGTTGACTAGTGGAGGTTATCACATACACAACTATTAAAATACTTTCACCTAATGCACACACCACTAATTGATAAGATTTAAATAAGAAAACTAGTACAAATTTTATAACATTACAGGATTTTTAATAATAATTATTAAAAAATCCTTTTGAATTGTTGCTTAGCTACTAGGAATATATTATATTGTCGTTTTATTAAATTTGAAATAATATTGGTCACTAAAATGTAGCTTCAATGCGAATAATTTTATTTATATCAGTTTGAATATAAATCTAAAACTTTAAAGGTGATAATGTCTTCATTTAAAAGAATAGTACCAGGATTTAGCGTGCAAGCTTACCAAAACAATTCTGTAACATCTGGTCCACCAAAGATGAAAAAAAAAAAAAAATTATTAGGCACTATCAAAAATCCTTTTTCTATGCTCTATGGTGTTCCTGGATTTCCATTTTCTACAGGTAACGCTGGGTGTGTACGTTGGTTCATACCTCTATCTTCAATTGATTATAATGTTTACTTACCCTTGTTATTTCATGGAATTCGTGAATCAACATACCCTTATGACAATTGTGCTGCTCTGGCTCTTCGTGATATACTCGACGAACCAAACTGTGGTAGTCACGTACTTGAAGCTTTACCAAAAATTATATTACCCATACGAAAAGCACTAGATACTGAACGATGGATAGTAATTATTCGAACTTTCATGGCGTTACAAAAAATTGTAACTTGTGATTCGAGAATTGGTGAAGCTTTAATACCATTTTTTCGCTATATATTGCCACCATTCAATCGATATCTTTTCATTAATGTTGAAGTGCTAGACGACCTTAACAGGAAAAATGTCATAGTAAATGTTATGGATATATGTAGAAAAACATTAAATTTATTGGAAATCAAAGGTGGTCTATTTGCTTATACCAACATTAAAAATATCATTCCAACATATGAAAAGACAATTACGCTATCAAAGTCATGCCAAGCTCAATAACCAAAAGAATATATTGTTCTTAATTAATAATATAACAGTTTTTATATAATAAATATAATAATATACTCTAAATCATTTTTGTTATATAATCTTAAGAAACTAAAGGATAATTCACACCAGATATCATAATCAATTTCTAAAGAAATATAATTTGTAACATGCCAAAAAGGTACCCTTTAATTTTTTGTTTATTTCTATATATACATATATTTAAATTATTTTGGTTGAGCCGAATGCGTAAAGCGACGGCCTATAATATTCATTCGTTTTGAATAATTTGTACTAAGTTAGTGACCGTTATCTGTGTTAGCTATGTCATAAATGCTACATCGACTGACCTTAATCTCTTACAAACGTTCAATACTTCTAGTAGAGCTCTGCATGGTTCGGTTTGAACTGGTCCGGAATGAACCAGACTAGACCACGGTTCGATCCGGTTCAGTCTTATACTTCAAATAATAAATTGGTCCGGTCCTAGTTGGTCTGTAGTTAAAAATTATCGGTCCTTTTTTTTACGGTCCCTTAAAAAGTTCATCGGTCCAGTTCTGGTCTTTCAAAGAATTCAAGGATCCGGTCTCGGTCCATCTTCAAATTGAGATAATAGTCCACTTTTAATAGCAGTATAGTATGATAAATATATTTGTATTATTGTTTTTAGTAGAAACTCGCGCGTGTATAATAAAAAAAAATCATAATTTTTATCGTTATAGGTTTAAATTGTTTTCAATATAGTGAACGATGATAACACTCACTAAAAATTAATACAATAAATGTCACATAAAAGCTGAATTCTTTCAAATAATGACCCACGTGCCAATAGAATTTTCAGGATCCTAAGATATGATTTAAAATCATAGTGCATATTGTATTGCTTTCTTAAGCTGTCAATCGTCAAGTGTGTAAGGTTTCAGCCAGACAGAGGGCCTACTAATTACCCACTGCCCAGGGGGAACACTGGACAGTGATCTAGTAGCCGCGCCAAACAAGATAGTACTTGTCGACGGAGCTACTAGGTTTTGAGAAAAACAAATATTAATAAAAGAGAAAGGCCATTTATAATATAACAACATTTTTTTTTAATTATTTAATTAAAAAATTTATAATTACTATTAAAGATATAAATATATTCATATAAAAGAAGAAAGAAAAAAGAAAAGGAGGTGCTTGATACACAAATTAAAAAGGGGGTAAAAGGGGGTTTTATTGATGTTGCACTTGTTGTTGATAGTTTTGAGAAATGATGGCCCACCACCGGCCATAGTTGCGCTTCACCTCACCATCTCGACGTTTTGTTTAAAATAAAAAAACGGAGGACAAAAAAATACAACCTGGTTGACACCACAGTAGACGGCAGGTCGACTCGACGTTTATTTTAATAAAAAAACGGAGGACAAAAAAAATACAACCTGGTTGACACCACAGTAGACGGCAGGTCGACTCGACGTTTATTTTAATAAAAAAAAACGGAGGACAAAAAAAAATACAAAAACGTGGTTTTCAGAAAAAATACCAACGGACAACTTGTCTCCTCGGCAGTATAGGTGGAAAAAAAACATTGTTGCGGCATTTGAATAGTGGCCGGTGATCATGATGTCGCCGGGTGGTGGGGGTGCCAACTTTGAACTGGTTCATAGGGAAAATACAAAGGTGTAGGGATGCACTGTGTGCGGTCAACTGTCACAACAAACCGGGTACTGACCATTGGATCGGTTGATTGGTATATAAACTAATTTAATAATTGGGGACATATATAATACCTAATGCACACACTATTAACTGATAAGATTTATATATTAAAAAAAAACTTGTATAAATTCTGCAACATTACAAGTGTATTATATTATTTCATAGTTTTTCTGTACACTTTGGAATAAACTGATCGTTTTTATTGACTATAATTATGTCTAGACATAGAAAGGCTATTACTGCCCATTTAACATACAATATTATTTTAATTCAGTTAAGACTTAAAACCGTGTTTTTAAAGAATTACCCTTGTATTAATAACAATATTACATTTATGAGTCTTTGTACATTATGTTGGATAAAATAAAGTTGGGAAATATCAACCAACATAATCATCTGGCTTTATTTCTTTATCATCAACGAAAGACATCAGTTATTTTCAATCTGCCTGTAAGTATTTTTTCTTATANAACGTCAGTTATTTTCAATCTGCCTGTAAGTATTTCTTTTTATAAAATAAATTTTTAATTATTTAAAAAATAGTATAATAAAAATAANCTTTTTATAAAATAAATTTTTAATTACTTAAAAAATAGTATAATAAAAATAAGCACATATGCTTTTTAAGAAAGATAGAAAATTATTTTGTTTTGTACAGCTTTATATTGATAAGTGTTAATTTTTTGTTATAAAATTAAACATTACTCGTAAAATATTTATCGATGTAAAATAATATGCTAATAATAACTTGTTGAACCAAAAATTTCACTTAGGCTAAATAAACTAATATGTCCGTGAATTTAGCACCCAAAATTAACTGATAAGTAACCATTGATAAGAATTTAGTAACCATATTGGTTACTTATGAACATTAGGAGGTTGCAGCACCCGCTATTATCAAGGGGTTTTCTATTTAATAATTTTGAATTAAAAGTAATTGATAGAAATCACTATATTACTATATGCTTTATTTTGTATTATTTATTTTATTTTGAATGGTCAGACTTCAACGACTATAAACAAAATGAATTTTTGAAATATTTCTCTTCAATGGTATAAGATTTAGTCACCAACAACGTGGACAAGTGCCTTAAAAAATTAATTTCCATGAACATATACGACGATTTACGATATATCAATATATTCTTGTATAAAACTTCATGGGATCGCATGTTCCCATCACTTGTGCACCTTGAAATTAAGTTTTACTAATAGCAAATTTTGTGGGCTTTTCAATGGTATAAGATTTATTGGGAAACAAAGTGAGCAAGTGCCTTAAAAAATTAATTACCATGAACATATACGACGATTTACGATATATGATTATACATTTGTATAAAACATCATGGGATGGCATGTTCCCATCATTTGTACACCTTGAAATTAAGTTTTTCTAATAGCAAATTTTGTGGGCTTTTCAATGGTATAAAATTTATTGGGAAACAATGTGGTCAAGTGAACCGAAATGTTAATTGAAAGTATAATTAAATATGAATTTTTGCAATTCTTATATTATGTATACTCATTGTTACAATGTTATTGTTTACTGATAAGACAGCATAAAATATAAAATTATTACAGAGGATAAATATAAAAATAATTTTGACATTTTATATAACGTTAATATTGTTGATTATACTTAACATTAAGATTGACACTTTGTATTTAATAATAACACTTGAGTAAAAAATAATGATAATAGATAATAATAATAATAGATTTTTTCATGGTGAAGAGTGATTTTTAAATGACAAATTATTTATTTATCTCTGAAACGTGTGTAATATAATATAATTAAACAGTATGCGTGTGTTAAATATTTCTCTAAGTTATTTATTTAAATTTTTTTGTTGAAAAGAATAATGTTATTTTAACCAAATAAATATGATAATATAATTAATAGTCTAATTAAAAGTGTTGATTATTTTAAACAAAAAGATTAAATAAATGATGGTGTTATTAAACTTAAAAGAATATAATAAAAAAATATATTTGTTTAAAATTTGCATCCGGTGGCTAAATGCCCTTCTCGCAGACATGTGTAGCATCCTACAACAACAAAAAAAGCTATATTAGTCAAAACACTAATATAATTGTATAATAAATTATAATTTTTATGATTTTATATATTCCAACAAGTATTGTATTCTTTGAAAAAAATGGTATAATAATAGTTACATTTGGATGATTCTTATTATGGTTATTTTTAAAATACTTTGCTCTTGATTTTTTATTTTGTCTTTGAGATAAATAAAAATTATTCCAAAAATTTTGAGGCCCTTTCTTGATTTTTACTGTGCTGGTAAAACATTAAAGTATTCGCATTTTAATTAAATGGGATTTTTTTTCAAAATAGTCTTGAAAGCTGACAAAAAAATCTCGAAAATATATAACATATGTCAATTGATCGGAAATTTTGTTATTTTCAATTAACCACATATATTATATGTTTATATTAAAGAAGTTATTAATTTATTTATTCAATACAATATAATATCATGTGTTAGCATCGATGCGAAGAAGAGAAGGTATATATTGTACCATGATATGTTTTTTTGTAAAGAGTTAAAATAGAAGTTTCGAGAACATTTGAGAAACTTCTAGAATAATTTTTCTGCATAAATAATTATCAATTTTAAATACTTTTCTGACCGACTGTTATATTATTACTTTTTACAAATATATCGCTCATTTGAAACGATGTTTAGATTAATGTCAAATTTTTTAATTACCACAAGCGTATTTGTGGCGCCAAACAGAAGGCAGAATAAGATATTTAAATTCTTAAGAAAAACGAGCCGCCCTTCATCACCTTACGAACTAGTTTAATATAAAAGGCTATGAAAATTAGCACACCAATATATTCTAGTTCACTCTCACTCTTTATTCTGTTGTATAATATTATTGAACAATCTTTTTGTTCTAACTTATATTTTTAGTAGTTCAATAATAACGCAAAATGTAGTTAATAAAGATATAATCAATCAAAATAAAAACATATAAAATATTGATACACTTAAAAACGGATAAATAAATAATACACAAAATAAAAACTTAAAGTCACAAACGTACCACACGGAAAGAGATTACCTTCGGTACTCCCGAGGTCTTCTCTTTTTCCTCTCTTCAATTCATTCCATTTCATCTTATATACTAACATATTTTGTTTTTCTTTTTATAAAATTCATATAGTAATCATTTTCAAAAAGGTTTATAAATATTTACTTCCTGATCTAGTAACAATAATTCGGGGAATTACAATTAATCCAAACATTACAAAAATGTTCTACTTCTAGGTTTACAAATAATAGACT